CTCCTCATCTTCATCGTGATCGCTCCTCTCCACCGATTCCTCACGGCATCTCCTCTTCTCCTTCCCCCTCGCCCTATCCTGGTAAATGAACTCCTTAAAGTGCCCTGCCCGAATAAGGCGCTCGATTTTGTCTTTGAGATGCCGACAATCCTCGGTGGTATGACCATAGTCTTTGTGGAAACGACAGTACCTCCTCGACTTAGGCTGAGTTGGCCCCTCAAATCTCGATCTAGGCCACGTCACATCTTTCCCATCGATCCCCTTCTCCATAGCCATCAAGACTTCGGCCACTTTCGCATTCAACGAGGTATAGTCATGGAACCTCTTCCCTCCCGAGATGGGCCGATCCTTCTACCTGTCCTCACGCCCTCGATCCTTCTTAGCTCGCCCTTCCCTCCTGGGCGAACCCCTCCTTTTCGGCGAAGCTTTCTTCTCCTTCTTTGATTCCGTACGACATAGTTCCTCCAGCTTGGCAAACTCCGCCTCAGTCTCCTCGAGGTTGATATATTTCCTGAACCTCTTCAACACCTCATCATAGGTACGAGCGGGGGTTTTGGCCAAAGAAGTTCGACATGGCCTCACTCGTAAGCTTCTGATCAGTCCTTCCACCTTGACCTCATCGACCGCCGACGGGATCTCTAAACAAGCCTGGTTGTATCGGGCTACATATTTGCGCAGTGACTCCTTCTCACCCTGCCTCATCGCCATCAGGGTTAAGTATGTCTTCTCCTGCGCCACCGCGCTCCAATACTAATTTATTAGCTTCTCCGCAAAGTCCTCAAAATCTGCGATCGAGCCTGGGGAAAGCTGCTGGAACCAATCAAGCGCTCCTCCCCTCAAGGTCGACAAGAATGCCCTGCAACTAATGCGGTTAGCATATCCATGCAACACAGCCATATTCTCAAATGTCCTCACATGTCTCGACGGGTCAGAAGTCCCGTCGAACACAAAGTTGGTATCCTTGAAATTAGCTGGCAAGGGTGCGACTAGTATATCCCTCGAGAATGGGTGTCCTCGCGTACGTCTCTCTGTTCGACCATCACCTTGGCCTGCAATTGACGCAGCTGCTCAGCCATCCTTTCCATCTCTTGATCTGGCGGGGATTCACCTCCTCCGTAACTGGATTCATCTTCCTCTGCGTTCTGGCGTGCCCCTACCACAGTGGTCAGCATCGTGGTGGTCCGAGAGAGGCTATTTGTAACCTACTGCACCGCTTGCGCAGCCGCATCCGCTACCATCTGCTGCATCTCTTGCCTGGTCATCACCACCTGCTGACCCGGGCGTTGATCTCCCACCTACGGCGGTGCTCCACCCTGTACCACCGGTCCTGTGGGCTGTGCTTCCCCTGGATTTGGCGGCGGCGGTGGAGGCATCGCCGCCGTGAGTGCTGTGTAGGCTTTCAGAGCGCGGCTAGGGCCTGCGTCTCCTCCGGGGATCGTCGATGTCATAACCACACCCTCCGGGACAGCCGCAGTCGTGATCGGTGTTTGGGAAGGGCCGAAGAAACCTGGAGGAGGGCCAAGCCCCATCGGCCTCTCGGTCGTCCACGCTTCGTCGAACGACTGCTGTAAATTAACCTTGGGAATTCCGTCCGCCATATCTACAGAGCTCAGTACCTCAGAACACCGCTTTTTGAACGAAAGTCCCACAGACGGCACCAAATGGTAACACATAACCTCCCGACTGGCTGGAACTTGAATAATCGCCTTCCTTTTTGCCGGTTGAACATCGTGCACCTACAAAGAACTCTTACACCGGAGGGGTTTTCCGGTGAAGAGCCTCCGAAGCTTAAGTCAGTGTATATTCAATCAATTCTCAAGAGTGAGTAACAGAATGATCATATTGAAGAAGAAAGGCTCACCCCCTTTATATAGAGGTGAAATACCTGATCTAGGGCTACCCGGATTTGCTGAGTTGGCTGCCCGTACGTACACACACAATGTGCGTGTGACAGAGGTAGCCGTCGCCACTATCATCTGCACCAATACTCTTTGGACGCGTGTCCTTCTGCACATGGGGTAAGCTTTCAGAGGTGGTTGTCGCTGTCAACCAATATGTTCTCGACACGTGTCCTTCTGCACATAGGGTGAATATCCTTCCAAAATTCCGTTAGAAGCTCCTCCACGCACCTATGACTAGGTCGATCCACGAGGCGTCAAGTCCACGAAGCAGTCGACCTGTGGAGGTCGACTGAACTGTTCGACCATCCGCTTGGTTGAATGATAGGTTACTCGACTTCCTGGCTGATCAACTGGTTAACTGGTCGATTTCTCTGCCACCCAGCTCGGTTCTATCGAGGTCGAGCCTCCTAAGCTGGTTCAGTAAACAGGTTTAGCCTTGTTGGTATAATATCCCATATCAATAGGCCATACTATTGAGAGCTGTATGTCCTTCGGTATGCACTCCCATTGTTGAGAGTTGTATGTCCTTCAATGACTAATGATAGATGTGCACATGAGTGAGATTATTGGTGTATTGATTGGAGATGTGACATGTCGAATTAATTTATGATCATGCTGTGACCATACTCTTTGTTATATTATGTTGTTATTTACGTGCATAGTGGTGAGCACTACTGTTTCTATTTGTGCTCATCCCCACCTGCTCTTCATGGATGCAGGTTAGTATTGCGGGCGCGACGGAGGGAGGCGAGTGGTGGTCATATATCTGATATTGCTTCCGCCTATTTGAATTAATTATTGTTATTTATGCTTTTCGAATAATGAGTATCGGATTATTGGTAGGGAGTGAACGCCCTAGTATTTATGATTTTGAGGAACCTGTTTGGGAGTTACATTTATGATATTATTGGAAATTATTTTAGAAATGAATAGCGCCGTCATGTGTTTTTGAAATAAATTTTGAAAAAAATATTCTGATTTTCTGAAAATAAAAGTGGGGCGTTACAATTCTTCTTTATGTATTTTGCCTTTTTTTTTGGTGATAAAGGGGTGGGGTTGGTTAGAGTGTATTATACTTGAACTTGTGTTGTTATATGTATATGCATCTGCACAATTGGCGTCTGTTATGATGTTGACTTACCATTGAGCATCCTTTTCATTTTTACCCCTTCAATAAATAATTATTTTGGCCTTTGGAACCTTTAAACCCTGTGATTGATTAAGTATTTACGTTAACCTCTTTATTTCCTCACTTCATATAGGTGCCAACGAAAGAGCAAGTAGATGCTTTGTCAAAGGAAATACAAAGTCGTGCTAGTGTCCCAGGTTTGTCAGCTCTCGAATATAGTATTTAATACTTATACTTTGACAATATTGGAATTCATTATCTAATCATTTCTGCCATTCACCTTTGCTTTGCAGTATAAAGACTCCAAAAAGGTTCATGAAGCTATTTTCATTGTACATGCTTGCCTTTTTAGTGATTCTATTTTCTTCTCATCATCTATGTTTCAATTTAATTTGTGTGGATATGTTGCCATGTTATAGGTTGAAGCAGAAATTTTTAGCTTATTTTGTGTTCCCTATACAAATATATTTATTATCTAACAATTACGATTGCAGATCACGTTTATAAAACCATTGATGCGCTTCTTTTTACTGCTCATCCAATGACTCAGTTTGCAACTGGCGTCATTAACAATTTCAAAAGGAATCGAGCTCTAAGGCGGACAAAGACGACTTCCAGTCCAGCGACTCAGCTAGCTCCAACGACTACTTTATTATGGGCTTATTAAAATTTGTAAAAAATAGAGGTATATGAATTTGGATATAACTTAAAAAAATTGATTTTAACAAACTCTTCGTCCAAATTGTTTAGGTATTGAAAAGATTGGATCAAAATCCAGGCGCATAAACGGAGCTTCTGATTCAGCGCGGGGTTGTTTGATTGTAGTCCGGGAGGCACAAATGACGACCAACACCTTTGAGAAGGCTTGACGTGTTGCAGGCATTCATAAAGCATCGCCTCTTCTCAAACACTACAGATTCATTTTAGACTATGTCAACTTAATAGGCATAAATATATGTAGAGAGTTGCAGCAACTGAACTGCAACAATTGCCTATAAAGCTGTGTAATGATCCATTTATAGTGAAAGCTTATTTTGTTAACAACCAATGTAAAAATTGAACCTGAACTTGCCTGGTCATTACAGTTAATGATAATTTTTCAGTGTATTTCAAAATTATATTTGAGTCTGCTGTGCGTGCACGGCGTGAGACAACTAGTTTTATATATATGCGTATGTGTGAGGCCTATATTAGAGTAAAATTTGAATGGGATTTTGAGTCAAAAAGTACAAAAAAAAAAATTATTAAATCAATCAAAATCGGTGTTTAATCTAGAGTGAATCGCTTCCTGTCAAAACACATTTTGCCCATTTCACCCGTTACTCTGTGTTAGTTGAACAGGTGCATCAGATTTTGCTTGCTTCCAACTAAAGGAACATAGAACAAACGAGGGAACATTCCATATTTGTCTTTGTATACTTTCCTTTTTTCCTTGAGAGAGAGTTGATTTCAGGATATCCTTTCGTTTTTATTCTCCCTAATTTCTGGGCATCTCGATGCTTTGATGATTGGGTTCTCTTGTCCTATCAATATTTTACGACAATTTAAGTTACTGATGCTGCAAAAGATCTGCGAAGATGGACTTTCGGGTTGTGGTCTTGTCTGTTGACAGCATAGGTGAAAGAAATATTGCCATTCTATTACACTGGAATATTAGAATCTTGATTTCGTGTTATATTATCTGTATGCTAAGGGGTTTTACGCATGTTCCTTTGTTTCTTTGTTGAATGCTTATCCTGCCTTTCAGAGGATCTATTCTACTGTTAGTTGATTCGAAGTGGGCTATGAAAGCCTAACGCCTGAATTGTGCGGCAGTTTGTGAATTGTGATCATATGCTTGTTTACTATTTCAAAACTAGAAATATGATTTGATGTCTTTGTAGGATTAACCAGATATTCATTTGAATTACATACTTCTAATGCAGAATATATTATTCTGCCGTACAAGTATTTGTGCGTTGAATTCATATATGATGGCAAGTTACAGTGAAACGGACGATCAAAGTTTCATCACCTGTGATGAAAGTTCTTTTTCTAATTCGAGGTCTGATTGGTTGGAAGATTGTATGAGTTCTACACTCGGAAATTGTGCTCTGGATTATGAGTTTTGGACTAAGGAACCCAACAGTGTCGATGAAAGACGAGCTAACCTTTTGAGATGGTTGGGTTTAGGTTCAGATGGGCAGAACTCTAGGGAAGATAACGGGCAAAGCTCTTACCACAAATATACTATTACCGACCCTGAGGAGACAGCCATAGCGAGTCAAAATTCTCAGCAATATATTTTCTCAAGTTGCTCTTTCCAACCCTTTCATTCTCACGGCAGCTCATTTTTACTAGAAGATGAAGATCTGAACCCAAAAACAAAGAGTCTTGCAAATGGAAAGGAATTTGCCATGGATGAACCATCTAATGATGGCTCACCTCCTGCATCATGTGAAGTAGGCCTGAAAAAGCTGATATCACTAGATGAATTCCAGAAATTACTTTGCTCATCGTCGTTGGTGCGGCATTTCTTGAGAGAGGACATCATGAGATTTAACATTATGGTGAAGAAAAGCAATTGGTTCCAGAAATTTAGTGCCATTAGCCATATCATGGATAGGACGAAGAGGTTTCTCTGCAAACCTGCGAGAGATCAAACGGTGGGTCCTGCTGAAAGGCTACGTGTCAATGTGTGTCAAAAGCAGTCAAAAGAATTATCGTCACTCTACTCAGGGCAAGAGTTTACAGCTCATACGGGCTCGATTTTGACTATGAAATTTAGTCCCGATGGTCTCTACCTGGCTAGTGCTGGGGTTGATGGGGTCGTTCGTGTGTGGAAGGTTCTTGAGGAAGATGTTCTTACTAAATTTAATGCACAAGTTATTGACCCTTCTTGCTTGAATTTCTCGCTAAACCATTTTTCCAAGTTGACTCCTTTGGATATTTTGAGAAAGAGAGATGATTTTGCGAAAAGCCTGGAAAAACCATCCGACTCTGCTTGTGTCGTATTTCCACCAAAAAGCTTCCAGTTGTCTGAGAAACCTGTTCATGAGTTTCACGGGCACACGGGGGAGGTTTTGGCTCTTTCTTGGCGTAAGGATGGGGTTAGTCGTGTTCGTTCAGCCTCAATGGATGTACTCAATTTTCTCCTCATGTGTTACTATGTATTCGCCTTAAAAGTGATGTCATTTGGTTGTTTTGTTGATGTTTGCAGCATTTACTGTCTTCTTCAGTTGATAAAACAGCTCGCATGTGGAGAGTAGGGAATGATCAGTGCCAGGGAGTTTACTTGCATAATAACTACGGTAAGTCACTCGATAACATGATTTTTTTTTTTTTATTCTAGTTATTGGTTCGTCAATTGTTTCACTTTTTACCCGTGATAGATAGATATATTCCTGTGTGTTTCTGATGCAGTAACTTGTGTCGAGTTCAGTCCTGTTGATGATAATCATTTCATCAGTGGCTCAATTGATGGGAAGGTACGCATTTGGGAACTTGAGAGCGGTCGAGTGGTTGATTGGGTTGATATTGGAGAAATGGTAACTGCAATTGGTTTTTCACCTGATGGAAAGGTCTGTGGACATTTTCATCTTTGTCGGGATTCTTAAGCTTATGGTGGAATTTGGTAGACATATTCTTTTGGTTGTTTCAGGGAGGAATTGTCGGGTCCATGGATGGCAACTGCCTTTTCTATGACATTATAGGTATGCATAATACTCGTGTGTACGTCACATCAGAGTGTAGATTTGCTCATGTCCTGCTGAAATGCTTCATAAGATTTGAGAGCAACAAATGCGTGGGTAACCTGTTGTGTGTTTTGACTTCTGATTATGCTTTATTAAGCCTTTTTTATATTTCTGGAGCTCATGGAGAGTGGATTTCTCAGTGTGATTTCTTTTATTTGCCCTTTTAACAGAACACGAATGGTTTCTATACCTTGTATCTACTTGTAAGCGCGCTCCTTTCAAAATTTTGGATTCTTAACTTAACCGTGGCTGATCCAACCATTCTCTGTATTCAACACCGTGTAGCCGTTTTTTGCATGTTTTCTTGACTCCAGTCCATATCTGAGCCAGTTTTCGCTTCTTCATTTCCTTTCCAATGCCGAATAGAGTGGGATTAAATTATATATACATATATATATATATATATATATATATATATATATATTATTTAATTGATTTGATATGGCGACGGTTACAAGTTTCTGTGTCGTTACTTGTCATCAATCTGTGCAATGATCGACACGTTCCTTTCTTATCAAAGTAATGTTTGCCGTCGATTTTTTCCTTGTTCTCCACATCAGTATTACTTTTACAAAATTGAGTGATATCGACATAGTCGTCATTGTCATTTAGGTAATCGTTTTCAAGTGGGTGCTTCTATATATCTGAAGGGCAAGAAGAATATGCCTGGCAATAGGATAATTGGATTTCAGGTTAATTTTCAAGATTAATTGTGCTCATTTTACATTTTCTTTTCACATTTCAAGTCCAGAATCATAATGCCTGTTGCTCTATGTCGTGTGTTCTTCATCGTCTTCAGTATTGTCCGAATGATGCGAACAAACTAATGGTCACATCTGCTGATTCACGAGTACGGATACTTTGTGGGACCACTATTGTTTGCAATTTCAAAGGTGGTCAGTGTTGTACTTTCCCTATTCCCTCTATGTTGATATGTTGATTATTAATAACTCATATATATATATATATATATATATATATATATATATTTTTTAGGTAATCGAAATTCAGCAACTCAAGTACCGGCTTCATTCACATCAGATGGCCAACACCTTGTTTCGGCCACCGAGGATTCTTACGTTCGCATTTGGAACTACACTACGGAGGAGGAGCAAAAGTCATCCCAAGAAAAGAAACTAAAGTCATACGAGAGCTTCTTCTCACGCAATGCCTCCATTGCGGTCCCATGGTACGGTTGGAAAGAGAAGTTAGGTGCACTACCGTCTAGCATATTAAGAAACGAGAAATTCCCCAATTGTTTCACATTGGGGCTTGGGTTTGTTATGGATACCCTATACAAAGGGTCCATGACATGGCCCGAGGAGAGATTGCCCCAATTGAATACAAAAAAGTTAAAGTTTCTCAAGAGTGCATTCAGTAATGCGCCTCATCTGTGGGGGCTCGTGATTGTGACTGCAGGATGGGATGGGTGCATTAGGACATTTCTCAACTATGGTTTACCGTTACCATCTTCAAAGATGAGATTTTAACTACCTTGACCTCTTTCTGGTAGCGATATTATGAAAACAATATGTTTTCTTTTTTTTTTTTTTTTTTTCAGTCAGGACAGTGGGTGTTGGGGAAGAGGGTGGCTGGTTAACGGTTTATACTACATTACTTGAAGATAATGTTATTCTGAAAAGCAATGCTTTGTCCCTATACGCTCTGGCCATAACCAAGTGAGTTTATTGACGACTGCATGTACTGGACTTCGATGTCAAAGCCATCTTACACTAAATAGTTGGTTGATTTGTACGAAAAGAAAAAAGCTCTTGATGTTTGTGTGCGTGTTTGAAGAAATTATCTCTGCTCGGCGCATTTTCCAGATTGTCGATTTTTTTTTTTTACACGAATTTCTGTCAAATTTTTAGCTCTTTGAATGTTTGTGTGCGTGTTTGAAGAAATCGTCGTTGGTCGACACAATTTAAATATGTTTTTTTTTTTTTGAAAGATTTCAACTTGGAACCTTGAATGGTCTAGGGTCTTTTTTTTGGCCAATTTACACACATATTATACTCTTTGTACAATAATCTATACATATATAAAAAAAAATTATCATTTATCAAAAATAATAAGTAAATCACTGGTCAAAATTGGTCAACATTAATTACATGTCATTTATAGTATCTTTTTAATATTTTTTCAAATGTTTTCCTTAAAATGAGGAGTTTGTTACTTTTTATTTTCAAAAAAGTTGGGCTGCTATTTAATTTAGTCTATTGAATATTTGTGATGGTTTGACACGATGTGTATATCAAAAGCTGACAATGCACGGATTGCATCAATTAAATTTGGTTATTGATTACAAAAAGCTATTTTTAAGTTTGAATATAAATGTACGTCACGACTGCTAATTCAATTAAACACCGGGTAATTATATTCTCCAAATTTAAAACCAGATATTCGCCTAATACAATTGTTTTGTTTGGCATCTTTTTTATAATAAAAAAGTTACAGCCGATTTAATAATAATAAAAAAAAAAATTGTGTGCTATTTTAACCATAAAAATATACTTTTGTATTTTAAAAAACATTGAAACTTTTTTTTTTCTATATAATCGACTAATAGCCTAATACATATGTTTTGATTAGCAGATTTTATTTAACAAAACAAATTACGGCTGATTGAAGGGTAAAAATATTTTTTTTAAAAAAATCATTTGTTTATTTCTTTTAAAAATATTTTTTCTAACAATCAAATTGAGCAGTTTCCATTAAAAAAATAAAGTTGCGGTTGATTCAATTATTCTGTTTGACAATTATTCATAATGAAAAATAATACACGACTCTAATTTTGAAACAATCAAAATTTAATGGTCATTGTTTAAATCAGAGATTCGAAATAAGAATAATCTCCATATTTAAATTGCTTTAATTGTAAAACGTGATGTATCCAATATTTAGATAGATTTAGCACATATCATCCCCTACATTAATGATTTTTTTATATCAAAATACCAAATCAAATTTTTACGGTCTTTCGTTAAATTAGAGAATCAAAATATTTTAATCTCCATGTTTACATTGCTTTAATTGTAAGACGTGATGTATACAAGATTTAGATAGATTTATCACATATCTCCAATAAATTAAAGATTCTATTTTTTTCTAAATTTCAAAATACCAAGTCTTAAAATTGCGGTTGATTTAATTATTAAACGATATTTTGCAATCATAGATTCGAGTTATCTTCAAACTCAAAATTTAAATTGTCGACATGTAGATATGGACATATTAAATACATATGATCTCTAAAATGAAGGATGTTATTCCATTAGAAAACACAAAGTATGAACTTAAGATGTACATTTATCATGCACGTGTGATAATACAATTTCACATGCTATGGAAGCCATATTGTTTACCCGTGCAATGCATGGGATATGCACTAGTTACAATTATAATGTTGGAAGGTTTTATTTGCAAAAACACAATATTGTACATAAATAATTATATATATTCCTAAATCTGATTTAAAAAAAAATAAAAAAAAAATAATAAGAATAAAATAAATAATTCCCCACTCTTAATTAGGGGATGTTATCTAGATCTTTAATGGTCTATTTATTTATTTATTTTTCTAGAACGTGTTCATTATCAAGTGATTATGGCCATTTCTTCGGTCACTTAATAAAAACACGGTAATAGAAGATGCATGTAGATAGCATCGTGTCAAGTAGAAAAAAAAAAATTCCTAAATCGTCTATAGAGGAGGTGATGGCTAAGATGAAGAAGTTTGTGCTATGTGATAGGGAAGTGAACGGAGTTACTCTGGAGGACGACGACATAGCTATTGGGGTTCAGGAATGCAGTCTGAGCCTTATCGGTAAAATATTTGGGGAGAAGCGGATAAAATTTGAAGGCTTTAAGGCGACGATAAACTCTATCTGGGGAATGCGAGCCCCCATATCTGTTCGGAATTTGGGAAATAACATGTTTCAATTCATTTTCCAAACTATTGAGGAGAAGGAGAGAATTCTTCAGGGCAAAACATGGAACTTTGATGGCCAGTACTTGATATTAAAATAGTGGGACCCCAGTAATACAGAGTTTGCTGAAGAAGAGGAGAAAATCAAGCTATGGATTCATATTACCAATCTCCCATTACACTGGATCTCAGCTGAGGTGGGCTTAAAGATAGGGCAAACCATTGGGAAGGTCCATGATGTCATAGGTCCGTTCTCAGATGTCAACAGTGGGAGGATGGTTAAAGTGTTGGTGGAGATTAAGCTGAAGGAACCTCTCCTAAGAGGATTACTATCAAGTTGGGGTCTGAGTTGAAATGGGTGGATTTCAGGTATGAAGGGCTGCTGAATTTTTGTTTCTATTGTGGTAGAATAGGGCATGGGGATAGAAATTGTGCTGTGAAAAAAGAGGACGTTAGTAGAAACCAGCTGAACCTTGGTCAATTTGGTGACTGGCTTAGGGCTTCTAGTTTCCGGGGGATGGGCAGGAGTAGTAGGTCTTACTTTAGTGATAGCCAGAATGAAGGGGACCCTACCCTTAAAAGCCAAAGCCCTGAACCTGAGGGTACCAACAGTGGAGCTGGATTAAACTCCACAGGTAGTACAGCTCAAGTAGCTGTTACTGTTCCTGTTATTCCAGTAGCAGTAGGAACCTCAGCTTTGGTTAGTGAGGGTAGTCCTAATGATCTTGTGTTAGGGGAGCAATCTGGCCCTTTTCCTTCAAAAGACCTCTTACCTCTGTCTATTTCGGAGCTGGTAGAAGTTAACATAACTTTTGCTAAATCCAAGAAAGGTGGACTGAGGGGTCTTACTAATTTTAAAAGAAAACCTAGGGGCCAAATTTCTACCCAAGGGGGAAAATGCAGATAGATAACAAATGGATCATTATTATTGAATAAACTGATGAGAAGGGAGGTAAAAGGGCTTTAGAATCCTAGGAAGGTAGTGAGAAAAACCCTGAGAGTATAGCTAAGAGGTTGAGGGGATCTGATAAAGGGAAAAATGTTGTGGTGGAGGAGGCCAACCCTAACTGGCCCCTAAGTGTCAATGAAGGTTTCAGTGTGGAACTGTATAGGTCTGGGGGGACCCTCTACAGTTTCCCAAACCAAAGAGATCCTAAGATCTCACCTCCCTGATTTTCTCTTTTTTTCAAAGACTAAAAGAAAAATGCTTTATTAATTCTGTTTCTAGTAAGCTTAGGTTAGATAATAGGTGAGTTAGTGTTGATCCTGTTGGGTTTAGGGGTGGGCTATTTCTTTATTGGTCTGAGAAGGTAGAGATCTTACAGTTGGCTTGTTCTGACTTCTGTATAGAAGTTCAGTTTAAGTTCAATGGGGAGGATGTTAGTCAATGGGCAATATTTGTCTATGCTAGTACTGACAACTCCTTTAGGTCTCTGCAATGGGAGTTTCTTCTTAGAAATTGCCTTTTGCGGGGGGATCTCTGGTTTATTGCAGGACGTTTTAATGATTTACTGGCAAACCATGGGAAGAATGGGGGTGTTTTGAGAGATGAGTCTTCTTTTGCTAGCTTTAGAAATTTTGTGGCTGGGGTGAATGGAGTGGAGCCTAAATGAGTAGGTCACCCATACACTTGGTCTAATCTTAGACAAGGTGCTGCCTTTGTGGAGGAGAAATTGGATAGAGTCCTTATGTCTCCCCTTGGTTTTGCTAGGTTCCCAAATGCTTTGGTTCAGCAAGTCTCTATGTCCTCTTCAGATCAAAATGTTACTGTTTGAGTTGTGCCCTAGTGGGGAAAGGGGGAAGAAGAGGTTTTATTTTGATTTTAGGTGGCCTAGGGAGAAGGACTTTAAAGAAGTTGTCCAGGATGCTTGGGAGAAAGAGGTCAGTGGCCCTGCCCTGTATAGCTTGCAGCTGAGAATTAAGAATGTGAGGTTGGCTCTGTTGGCTTGGAGTGCTAAAGCTAGAACAAATTCTGGGAAAGAGATTCAGGAATGCAAGAGGAAGCTGTCAAATCTCAGTGTGCAAGGGGCATTTAGGGATTGGGTAGTTTGGAGCAGCACTAAGCAAAGACTGATGCAGGCTTATAAAGCTGAGGAGGTGTATTGGAGGAACAAGTCTAGGGTTCTCTGGTTAAAAGCAGGTAACAGAAACACCAAGTTTTTCCAAGCAAGTGTTAATCAGAGGAGAAAGGTGAATAGCTTGGAAAACTTGGGGAATTCAACAGGCAAAAGATGTGCTAATAACCAAGAGGTCTTGGATGAAGTCCAAACTTATTTTGACAGCTTATTTAAGTCCTCTGACCCCAGGATTGAGAAGTGCAGCCTTCAGGGTATTCCTCACACTGTGACTGATGATATGAATGCCCAACTGATTAGAGAAGTGTCTGAGGAAGAAATCAAAGCTGCCCTAATGTCCATGGACCCTAACAAGGCACCAGGAGCTGATGGTATGTCCCCTGCTTTCTTCCAATCTTCTTGGTCTACTGTAAAATATCACCTATGTTGTGCTGTTAATAATTTCTTTGTCTCTGGTAAAATGCCTAAATCTTTTAATCATACTGTA